GTGAACTAGCCCCATTCACACCCATTCATTTTTCGGATCAACTGATCGGATGGAAGTCGGAAGGTACAATCGAAATTCAACGGACCCTCTGTTGGCTTACCACTTCCTTCCGATTTTCGTGTGAAGGGACCCTAAAGTGTATGTAGAGCCAAAACATTTTTAAGTATAGGGAAGAGTTAAAACTTCTGTCACTTTTATTTTTTGCTGTCTGTGTACAATTCTTAAAATTCTACAACTCTAAAATGTTGCATTTCCCCTCCCTTTCTTTCTCGATGACAATGGTCACAAGTACTAATAGAAGGCTGAATCTCCCCATTGGGGACATACACAGCAGTAAAAAATTGACATGGGGTCTAAACCTTCCCTACTCTACCCTGTGCTTAAAAAAAAAAAAAAGGTTTTGTCTAGAGATGCACTTAAATGCTAAAGCACAGACAAATGCTCGTCTCTCAGCCTCCAAAGATGTTAAGGCAAGAAGGCCCAAAGCAACTAACTATTATCTCTTGAGTATGTCCCAGCATTACTCTCTTTTCTTTTACCTTGTTCCTGTAGCTAGAAATAGCTTTTAATACTCCTCAAACTTGTACAAATTTTGTGAAGGCAGCTGTTAGGATCTATTCAGAAATAGGCATGCCCTCAGAACTACATCTCCCAAGAGACCTTTTCCTACACAGTGTGTGGGCAGGCCCTTTTAAAGTGAAAATTAAAATTTAAAGCCCAAATTTTCTTTTTTCATTTCTCCTTTTAAGGAGACCCTCCTTTGCTGGAGGATGTTGCGTTTTTTCTTTAAAAGTACTTCTTTCCTCGTTTTCTAGTGTGTCCCCGCCATGCTCTTCCCCCCGCCCCCTGCACGGGTGCCACCATCGTTCTAATGGAGGCACCCGTGCGCGCTTGTGACCGCAGCGGCTGTGTGGGTCCATCGACCACACAGTCCTGTGGCAAGCCATGCCCCTTCCCTCTTTGATTGATGGCAGTAGGAGCCTATGGCTCCTCTGCCATCAGTATCCTCCCCCACAACCCGTTTTTTTTTGACTGGGGTAGAAAAAAGGTGCTGGGCTGTTTTTTTCCCTAATGCAGAGAATGCATTAAGGTAAACAACGCCCAGACCTTAATGCTACTTTAAGGGTCAAGACCGCAATGTTGTTTTGCTAGGAAAGAAATGAATTAATGCGTTAACAGCACTGCTTAGGTTTTCAGTTCAATAAAGGAAGTTAGAAGATGTATGGTATATATGTCTGCATATGTTTTAGGGGTTTTGTTTTTTTTTGCCCAGATATACACTTTAAAGAGATCAGCAACTTTGCATATTAGCAGTTCTCCCACCTTTTAGAAATGTAGACACAATTGTTTATATTAATATTTAGAATTCTAAGCAGTTCTGCCTTTAAAATCTGTAGAAAGGGTTTTGTTTAGACCGGAGTTCTTTAGATTTCACATTGGAGCTTGACATGTGAAGTGGGTATGCACACAAGGGAAAATAAATGTGGCTTTGTAGAGGGTCCTTACACTGTATGAGAAGCTCTGGAGATGGATTCTACAAATTTTGATTTTGCAATATTTTATTGAAAGGCAAATAAGTATTTGGACTGCTGCTGGATGGCATTCCTGAAGTAAAGCTGACATAAAGGAACAATGATCAGGCTAACTAAGCTGCTAAAAATGGGCATGGCAAGCTTTTTTTTTTCTGGTCCCCCCCCCCAGCTGACAACCTCAAAGTCCCCTAATCCCAAACTAGCTTCAAAGGCCATTACTGTCTTCTCTTCCAATTCAAATGAATGCCAATGCCCTATCGTACTTTGAAGCACATTGGGTGCGTTGTGTAATCGCATGTGTTGATCGCACGGTATTGTGAGATTAATGCAACGTTATGTTTAATGTATAACTTTCATGTTGGCTGGAGAAAGTTTTTCCACACTGAAAATATTGCATATATAAGAGGTTAGTAATGCTACCACTTTGTTATCTTTCTGTCGTTACTTGATAGTGGAGAGCATTAAAGGAGAACTATGGGGTCAGTGTTTTTCCCCATAGTTCTCCAAAGGGTAACGGGAGGACACAAACTAGCGTCCTCCCGTTACCCTAAGCTCAGTATACCGCAAGCTACAGCTCATGGTATACTGAGATGCCGCAGCCGGGACGGATCACGACTCTTTTGACGGGATCCGCCCAGCTGCGTGAGTGACAGCTGGCTCTGCCTATCTAGAGGCAGAGCCAGCTGTACCCGCCCCCTCCCCCGTCTGTTCCGCCAGTCAGCGCTGGCAGATCGGATCGGTGAGAGGGGAATGCAGCCCCTCCCCCTGTCACGGCAGAGAGCCGTGACAGGATCGAGAGGTGAGGGAATACGGTATGGGTTCCCTCACCTCCCGTTCTACTGAGCCGACCTGTGACAGTCTCATTGTCACAGGTCGGCTAGAACTATGAGATGAGTGGAAATCACTCATGTCATAGTTCTCCTTTTAAGCTGGCCATCCACATTGCCATCCTATTGTACGATTTCTGTATAATCTTTCAGATGTTCCAAAACAATTTATTGTAAAGGTCTACCTAAAAAAAAAAATCCATTCAAATTGTTTTCAGTCAGGCTGGTCCTTGGACTGCATAGATTGGGCCAAGAT